GCGAACGTACCTCAATCAGATTGAGGATGTTTTTAGCAAAGGCCAGCTTAGGAGTACCCTAATTAAGTTAATAACAATGTACCTACCTATACAGTTTAAGTTTAAAAAATTTGGCTCAAAAGAAATTTCAATAGTTGTACTGTTGATATTTGGCTCTGTTGACTAATGAGTAGGCAATTGTAATGCAATGGTAGGAAGCATTTATGCAGTAAAACAGTAAAAATGGGTGTGCAAGATAGAAAATGGTACATCCCTGTGGGGCACTGACCCTGAATGGGCTCCAGGCTGCTCTGCCAGGAGTTAGTGATTGGTGAGTGATTATGAAGACCTACGACATTATTGTACCCGACTGTAGAATTTATGACACTGTACACTTAGGCCAGGAAATTTACAAAAAAACAGATTCATCAAGCCCAGGAGGCAATGATGCAATCAAAAGGCACAGTCAACACAAGACCTGTGAGGCTCCTGCCCGCATAAACAGCATACTGTTTTACAGCAAAGTTTTCTTTCACTAAGTAGTAAGCACACAAAGGTAAAGAGGATAGTATAGCAAATGCATAAACCAGTGTCTCATCATCAAGTATTCTATGTAGTGACCGTAACTGTGTGTGCTGGACTTTCATAGGACTGGCCGCATAGGAAGCTTGTTTACACCGGCATCATCATAAACATCTGAGTAATGCATTTCCCTATGACATTGTGATGGGTATGACATCACTAGGTGACTGCAGTTTTTCAAATCCGCTGTAATCGTTTTTTTTTATATATAGAAGGGATTTTATTTTTCATTAAGTTACAGTTGACATTCAACATTATATTAGTTTAAGGTGTACAGCATAATGATTTGATATTTGTATGTATTGTGAAGTGACCATCACAATAAGTCTAGTTAGCTTCTGTCATCATATATAGTTACAGAATATTTTTTTCTTGTAAAGAGAAATTTTAAGATTTACTCTTAGCAACTTTCAAATCTGAAAAATAGTTTTACTAACTGCTGTAAGTTGCATTTCCATGACTTATTTATAACTGGAAGTTTGTACCTTTTGACACCCATCATCCATTTCACCCCCAGCGCACCCCCATACACCACTGCCGCAACCTCTAGCAACCATCAGTCTGTGCTCTGTATCTATGGAGTTGTTTTTTTAAAGATTCCACAGATAAGTGAGAACACATGATATTTCTCTTTTTCTAACTTATTTCACAAAGCATCGTGCCCTCAAGGTCCATGAATGTGTTGTTACAAGTGGTAGAATTTCTTTTTCTAATGGCTGAGTAATACAGTAATAGTCCTCTGTGTGTATGTGCACCATTTTCTTTTTTTATTGTTTAAAGTACTACATATATCTCCTTTTCCTCCTATTGACACCCCCCCCCCCCCCCCGGAACAAGCCCCCATTACCCCAGTGTCCATGTCCATTGGTTATGCTAATATGCATGCCTACAAGTCCTTTGGTTGACCTCTTACCCCTCTCCCCTCCCCTCCCATCTTTCCGAGGTTGGACTGTAGAGTGTTTCTTATTCTTTGGATCTATTTTTTTCATCACTTTATGTTCATTTTATCCCACATATGAGTGAGATCATGTGATATTTATCTTTCTCCGGCTGGCTTATTTCGCTTAGCATAATGGACTCCAGTTCCATCCATGCTGTTGCAAATGGTAAAAGTTCCTTCTTTTTTATAGCAGCTTAGTATTCCATTGCATAGATGTACCACAGTTTTTGAATCCACTTATCTACTGATGGGCACTTATGCTGTTTCCAAATCATGCACCATTTTCTTTTAGAAATTTTTTTAAAACTCTCACCGGAGGATATTTTTCCATTGATTTTTGGAGAGAGGGGAAGAGAAAGGGAAAGACAGAAATATTAATATGAAATAAACACATCGACTAGTTGCCTCCTGCACTTGCTAGACCAGGTCCCAGGCCGGGAGGGGTGCTTGCATCCAAGGTGTGTGCCCTTGACCAGAATCGAACCTGGGACCCTTCAGTCCACAAGCTGACGCTCTATTCACTGAGTGATACTGGCTAGGGTTTAAACTTTTTTTTTCAGTAAGTCAACACAATATATTAGTTTCCAGTGTCAACATGGTGATTAGACAGGTACATAAGATACAAAGTCGAATAAATACCCATCAGATATCACACATGGTTAATAGAATATTATTGACTATATTTCCTGTGCTGTACTTTACATCCCCCTGACTATTTTGTAACTACCAATTTGTGCTTCCTTTCTGTTGTTGTTAATCCTCACTTGAGGATATTTTTCCATTGATTTTTTAGGGAGACTGGAAGAGAGAGGGAAAGACAGAGAAAAACATGGATGTGAGAGAGTAACACATCAATTGGTTGTCTCCTGCACGAGCCCTGACCAGAGCTGGGGAGCCCTGACCAGAGCTGGGCCAGGGAGGAGCCTGCAACCAAGATCCATGCCCTTGACTGGAATCGAACCTGGGACCTTTTGGTCTGCATGCTAATTCTCTGTCCACTGAGCCAAACCAGCGAGGGCGTGTGCTTCCTTTAAAAAAAAAAAAAAAGTAATTCCTTATTGTTGAAAGTATTACATGTATCTTTTTTTTTCTCCAATTGCCCCCCCCCCCCCCACCCCCCCCCTCCCCCCCCCCTCTCCCTCCCTCCCCCCCCTCCTCCCTGAGCCACTCTCCTCCTCCTCCTCCCTGACCCACTCTCCTCCCTGAGCCCCTCTCCTCCTCCTCCCTGAGCCCCTCTCCTCC